GTTGAGGGCTGCTGTGGGACCTCGCCAGGAGGCGCAACAGGACCTTCAGAGCCGCCCATCGCCTGCTGCTCTTGGTGCCTCAGCTGTTGGTGCTCCCATTGCAGGCTTAGGTCCATGTTTGCCTGCCCGACCAGTTCAGAAGAAGGCAGCAACTTCAATTGGGGGGCCTACGGTACTGCTAAATAGTAAACTGGAGAAGCATCAAGGGGTTCTAACTACTGAAAATGGCCCAACTGAACCCAAATTTCAATTTCCCAAAGTAGTCTTGAAGCCTTCCAGTGGACCTTCAAAGGCTCCAAATGTAAGCGACGATAAATCGAAGGTAGATTCATTTTCCTTATTGTCGTCACATGCTCATAGTCGACACCAAGAGCCTAAGGTTCAGTCGAGGCCTTTGAAGCTTGTCTATGACCATGACATAAGGCTTGCAACGATGCCAGTGAATTGCAGATTTAAAGTCCTTAGAGAGATTGTGAGCAAGCGTTTCCCGTCATCAAAATCTGTTTTGATTAAGTATAAGGATACAGATGGTGATCTGGTGACAATAACCTGTACAAGTGAACTTAAACTGGCGGAGCTTTGTGCAGATAGCCTTGTTCCTAAGGACCCTGAAGTAGATAAATCTGCTTCAATTGGAATTCTTAGATTGCATGTTGTGGAGGTGAGTCCCGAACAAGAGCCACCTTTGTTGGAAGAAGAGGATGAGAAACCTGTCGAGAGTGAAGAATCTAAGGGAGGTGGCAGTGGGCATGTTTCACCTCTTGGGGAGTCTGTGGCAGGAGCTACTGATTCTGAAAATGATAAGATAGAGAAAGTTGTTCTGAAGGAGAAACCAGGAGCTTTGGAAGATCCCGAGTGCAAGGAAATTGAGATGGATGATTGGTTATTTGAATTTGCCCAGATTTTTAGAACCCATGTTGGTATTGATCCAGATGCTCATGTAGATTTGCACGAGCTTGGAATGGAGCTCTGCTCCGAGGCTCTTGAGGAGACAGTAACTAGTGAAGAAGCTCAGAATCTTTTTAACAAGGCAGCATCGAAATTCCAGGAGGTTGCTGCTTTAGCTTTCTTCAACTGGGGCAATGTTCATATGTGTGCAGCAAGGAAACGCATTCCTCTAGATGAGTCATCTGGAAAGGACATCGTGGCAGAGCAGCTTCAAACGGCGTATGAATGGGTGAAGGAGAAGTACACCCTAGCAAGAGAGAAATATGAAGAGGCACTTTTGATTAAGCCTGACTTTTATGAAGGTCTATTGGCCCTTGGCCAACAGCAATTTGAAATGGCTAAACTTCACTGGTCCTTTGCACTAGCTAAGAAAATAGATCTATCAAGTTGGGACTTTACAGAAACACTTGACCTTTTTGACAGTGCAGAGGAGAAGATGAAAGTAGCGACCGAGATGTGGGAAAAATTGGAGGAGCAGAGGGCAAATGAGCTAAAAGATCCAACCGCATGCAAGAGGGAAGAACTATTGAAGCGACGAAAGAAACAAGCAGGTGGTGGCACAGACAGTGAAGTGCAGGGAATAGGTGGTCAGCTTGAGGTTTCTGCGAATGAAGCTGCAGAGCAAGCAGCACTGATGAAGTCTCAAATCCATCTATTCTGGGGCAACATGCTCTTTGAAAGGTCCCAAGTTGAATGTAAAATAGGGACCGGGGATTGGAAGAAGAACCTCGATGCTGCTGTAGAGCGTTTCCGACTTGCTGGCGCTTCTGAGGCTGACATTTCAGTTGTTTTGAAGAATCATTGTTCTAATGAAAATGCTGCAGAAGGAGACGATAAGAAGAGTCTAAATGTAAATGGCAGTGTGAATCCTGAAAAAGAAGATATCATAAATGAGGCCGATCAAGCATCAGGGTAGTGAGTGAAATGATGTTACCATCACATTATATAACCACAGTGTTCGAACACACCCAAAACTGATTGCTAAACTTCATTACAACGAACCGAAGAAAAGAAACGACATATCGTCTCAGCCAGGCGACTCCTTTCGGATTGACGCATTGGATGCCAACACACTTTGCAGCAATGTAGTTCATTCATCATTGGGGGCAGGTTATGAGTTCTGAGTGGTAACTTTCTTCATGATTTCACAAGTTTTCAAGTAATTTGTCTGCCAGATTGATGATTTTTATCTTGAAGAAACAAACTCATATACTGGTTTTGCCTCATAACTTATTCAAGATTGTGGTGAGCATTTGTTGTTGCATATCCCCCCCCAATATTCTTAATGAACATGTCATGCCATAGTAATATCATAACAATTGTGGCTGGAACTGGAAGGAGAGATGATTTTGGTTTACTTTATGAGGCTTTTCATGTCAGACAATATATGTAAAAGCTTCGGCTCTAGTGTTTTGTTTTGTTTTTTTTGCATCACAACACTTGAAAATATGATTCAATTGCTGTTTTTTAATGGATAATTGACATGAAATGAAGGAGTGTATCAAGTAGTTTTTTTCAGTTGAGATGAGGATTATGTTCCTTACTGAGATCGCCAACCGTTGTACATCTAAAATCGATAGACTGACTTTGGTTTGGGTTTGATCGGTTGGCTTGATTTTTCGACTATTTTTATGTACTTGTGGGTAGTGATTTATTATACTCAATGATCTACATACAAATTTTAAATTTGGGAACTTGAAAGTTACTCAAGATATCTATGGTCCGAAGATGGGGCCCGGTACAGAGAACCCTTAAATTTGTAATTAAACAAAAAAAGGTGGTTTATACGAATTCTGTATTCTATTGGCGATGAAAGGAAAAGAAAAAAGGAGAAATATGTAATGTGGGAATCCAAGAGAGAGAATACAAACTTTATTACTTGAAGAAGCGAAGGAAGATGTTGCGAATCGTTTCGAATTCGTATGCAATCAAGTGTTCAAGTTTTATATATAGATATCATCTTAAGAGAGAGCGATGCAATAGAGGAGAATCAATGGATTTCTTCGACACAATGCAAATCCCTTACAAAACGGTGATAAAAGAGGAATGGAAGAATCTGAATCAAGAATTGATCGACAAGACGAGAATCGTGTTTCCAATGACGACCAGCGGAGACACGGCGTTGCATCTCGCCGTGTACAGCGGAGAAGAAGAGCCGACGAGAGCTCTACTGGCGACGATGTCGGAGATAGATGAAGAATTCTGGAAGAACAGAGCCGGAAATACGCCGTTGCACGAAGCCGCCGCCGTCGGGAATCTGGCCGCCGTCAAGCTTCTGGTGGAGTACAACAAAACGGATCTGTTGGCGATGAACATTTACGGCGAAACGCCTCTGTTCAGAGCGGCCAGATTCGGACACCTTCACATCGTCGAGTACTTTCTGGAAGATTGTGAAGATTTCTTTTCTCGATCGCCGATAAATTGGACCACAGGGAAGCAAATGCCGATCATTCACGCGGCTATTCAGAGCGAGAAATTCGGTTCGTCTCTGTTTTCTCTTTCAATCTGTAAATCTAGGTTTTCTAATCCACCATTGATGCGCGGTCACAGATGTGGTTTTGAGATTGGTTGATTTCGAAAAATCACTGTTGGAGATGAAGGATCCAGAAGACAAAACAGCTCTTCATGTGCTCGCAAACATGCCGCTCGCTTTTCGAAGTGGATCCCCCCTAAAATTCGTCGAATCAATTATCTATAAAGGTAAGAATTCTCACCCCTGTACTCAAGAAAAAATGGAGTCAATTTTGAATTTTATCTAAATAAATTTAGATTATATTGATCTGTTACTTATGAGTCATGACTATAGAGCATAATTAATTTTCGTGATTTTCTTTTAAACAGTGCTTCCTAGTGATGACATTTACAAATATAATTTTTCAAATTTTGGGTCTTCCGACAAAGACGAATCTGAAGGCTCTAGTGCTACGAAAAACAAGAAGAACGAAGATTTAGAAGCACAACGTAGTTCTGATCGTGGACTTAATTTTTGCCATTCAAATTGCTGTAAGTTTTAAAATTTTATAGACTAAACTACTAAATTGATTAATTGACCAATTGTTGTATATATTCAAAATAAATACTAAAATGAGGTTAACTTATAAATTTAGTCTTTAAATTTTGATAGTTAAATATATATATATATATATATATATATATATATATATATATATATATGTATGTATGTATGTATGCTATTTAATCTCTAAATGTTAAAAGATTTCATCTATATTACTCAGACTTTGAATTGATAATTAATGATATATTAGACAGAGACTAATAGGAAAGGAAGGAAATAGGTAGTTTTATTTTTAGATTCATCACTAAAGATTTTATAATTCTTTAGTTTTTTAGAAAATAGAAAAAATATATCTTTTTATGTAGTTTTCTTTATTGTTTGTCAAAAATTTAACAGTGGCAAAAAAAAAAAAAATATTGAATTTTGAATTTTGTGATTTAAATAGTTGAAAGTTTTTTAGATTCTAAATTTGAAACTTTTTAAAATATAATAAAAATTTTATAAACATTGTAAATCATTTCATTTTTTAATTAAGAAAACATAAATTATAATCTATTGTAAATTACATAATAGTTTAAAATAATAATTAAATAAATCAATACTATTTTAGATTGGACTAAATATTTAATACCATTGGCTTACAAATATAATCCTAAACAACCTCTAAATAGACATTCGTAACCAAATAAACTAAAAAATAATAATAAAATTTGTAGTTTAAATTATCTTTAAAAAGAAAAAGAAATTCTAATTATAATCTTTGTGGCAGGGAAATATTTTGTACACTTTTTGACGTGCTATTTCTGGAGATTCATCTTTCAAGGTTTCACTCTCACTCTTATTTTCTCTCTCTCTCCTGTGTGATTCTGAATTCTGGAAGTTGTACAGGGTGGCCGCAATGGAAACAATTGTACCTGAAAAAGCGGGACCACAAATTGGCTGTAACCATCACCAAGATGCTTGCTCAGATCGATTATTCATGGCTCAACACCAAACCGACGCCGGAGAACAATGAAGTCGACTCCACCGGCGTCCACCTCCAGATCGACGGCAAAGACTTCCCCACAGACACTAACCAAAGGCCGGAGGACGACAAATCGGAAACTAAAGACATCGAGTACGACGATCACCACGAAACTCCGCTCCTCCTCGCCGCCGCCAACGGAATCATCGAGATC